AAAGCATGACGAACTACTACTGGCCTGTATGATATTGATTATTTAAAATAGTAATAACGCAGTTTACATGTGTATGTGTGGAGAGTGAAGGCACAGAGCAGAGCGAGAGGTTCCTCCCAAGCACGCACTGGCTGCTGAAACGAAGTTTCGGGAAACTATAGATTCTTGGATAGTAAGCAGTAACGAGATGGGGGAAAAGCAATAGGCATGCTGCTCGCCTCTGAGAAGCGGAATAGTTAGTTGCTTCAGGCGCAAAATTACAAGGAAGTAAGTACCAGCGGAGGGACAGACAGAGAGACGGACACGCACACTACTCCCGGACAGCACAGACCATTTAAGGCAATATACACAAAAGTGACAGGCCTAGGGCGCACTGGACTAGTAAATGCTTACTGCTCCCGCTGCTGCTGCTGCTAACGGAGAAAGAAGGCATCACAGCGAGCGCTAAGCACCAGAAGACTTCACAATTCAACAAAATGAGCCCAACTGAGGCAGAACTTGAAATTTGCATAGAGTCCTTTATCAAAGCACTACACTCACACAGGCCTGTTGCTGTTGTCCACATGTCTGTCCACAAGTACACGTCCGTTTGTCCATCAATTCGTCCACTACTTGGCTAGAAGTCTTTTCCGCTCATCTGCCCACAACTTCATACTTGCCGTCTGGTCGAGTAGCCATTCGTTTCCTCCATCAATTTGGTATTGGTTTGTAACAATATCCTTAACGAGTTAAACTGCTCTCTCCGAGCAACTTCCAGAAGAAGGGGAACTGACCTTTTTATAAGAGAATGGCTATCGACCAATTCACTTTCAAGTACTTCATACTTTATCAGAAACATGCTAACCAGAAAGCAATCCACACTATTGCTTGCCTGCTCGCTCTGTCTATGTTTACAGTTAACACTCAAAGACGAAGCGTAGACTAATTCCCGCATGTTACTGGTTAATCTTATGACTCATCATGGTTTCTTCATGCTTTTCATGAGTTATGATACTTCTTCAGGCTTTGCTTTTTTGTATGTTTAGTATTCAAAGTCGACAGTTGTAGTTTTCGAGATTCTCCCTTAGCCTTCGTCTAGTGAAGCGAACATTCTTTTAATTTTTCTATTCTGCAACTGCATTTTTGTAACTGCGAAATTTTAATCCTCCAGCTGTGCGGTTGGTAACATTTCCAGTTGCTTTGACTAGTGCTGCACAGCCTGTTGATCATCCTTCTGGCAGTCCTGATGTTCATTTAGTCGCCTGAAGGGATTTCCAACTCAGTTGTTTTTCAAACAGAATCATTTTGACAAGGCTTCGCCACCTTAGAAGGTAGAATGTGAGGAGAAGTTTGACTGTGCAGATCCAGGTAAGCATTTTCTTCGGAGCGCGCTGGAGCAGTGTTGAGCTAGCATGCATGAATGTGCTAAGGCGGATTCTGCCTAAGGCCTCACAAATGCTTGTGCCATAACACTATATAAGCAGTAGCGGCAACAGCAACCTAGTATAAGACCATAAGCCCTAACCAGCTTAGACCATTTACATCTATCGATCGCCCCGATATCCTCACTTCCTCATTCACAATCTTTCACTTTACGAACTAACCGTACATTACTAATGGCAAATTCTTTTTGCCCCCACGGAATAATTAAAGTAAAGGTAAGTAGGAATGAAATAGTTGGTCATCTACAGCTCACCAGGTTTTTGTCTTGCCAAAAAAAGTTAATATTTAATTCAGCTGTTTATTGAGTTAACGCAGAATTACAACTGGGATACAAGGAATAGTTACCAGCTGACTATGAAGTTTACTTTGAGATATTAAAGACTATCGGGCTGTAATCTTCAGTTAGTGTTCAATGCTTGTTCGATGTATGTGCGCCACCTCTTTGTGTATATGTGTGCTATATATGGTATACTGTACACCAATGTATGTGCCTGAGTCCATGCCTGTGAGTATGTGCGTATGTTCATGCACTTTGATTTGATTACAAAAGTGAGGAATCGGAAAATTCAGGAACAATACTTCTGCCTACGCACAAAGTCGAAATAGTGAAATCAATCTACGGCCTCTCAAATGCCCTGATTTAAGGTACCAGGTTGATGTCCAGGACACTGCTTCGTTTTAGAACAAAGTAAGCCAGGAACTCAGGATTTTGATAGAATTTGTTGGCCGGTAAAATCAAGGGACCACCAGAGTTCGATGCTTTCGCTGTCTTTTTGGACTGACCCAGTTCACTGCATTGCAGTTTTCCTAATATCAAATGTGATGATAACCTCGAACATCCGGCGAATGTTCCGAAAAGTGAGGAGCCAAAAAATACAGGAACAAATCTTCTACCTATACACGAAATTGAAACACTGAAACCAATCTTTAACCTTTCCAAGTGACCTAACTCATGACCAGAGGTCACAGTTCAAAGTGGAGCAAGCCAAAAATTTTGTATAACATTTTCTGGAGTTCAGTGCTTCTGCCGGTTTTTATAATCGCTACTGTTCACTACATTACTTTTCTTCTAATATGAAGTGTTTTGATAAATCGAACCAATGCATATGTCTCAAGTCACAGGACTGTTTCTGAAAAGTAAGGAATCGTAAAAATTGGAACGATTCTTTGCAGATACACGAAGTCGCAAGCCTGTAGCTCATTTTTGGCCTCAGATGCGTGTCTTGAGCATTCGGGAACTGTTTCCGGAATAATTTGCGTGCTCATCGAAGATGGGTGTGTGTCTGTGTCTGTCTGTCTTTCTGTCTTAGTGGCTGTAAGATGGAGCGTGGAAACTGAGCAGCTGGCAAGGTTTGGTTAAGCTCTGGATGCTGTAAGCTGTGGCAGCAGGCCGTGTTTCATTTCGGTCTGCGAATGCAATCAGAAAAGCAGGGGGTCTGGAAGCGATGAGGTTCGATAATAAGTCCAAACGTTGAGAGCCAAGAAGCGCACCGGAAGTGTACCAGCGGAGCCCGGAGCAGCCTGTATCGATTTTGGTATGAATGTGTTTTCTGTGGCTTACTTGGCCAGCAGCGTCCTGTCCTCTTCTGTGCCACTGGGCCTGTCTACGCTGTGAGTGACGACTGCTCGCTGACTAACTAGCTAACCTCTGACAATCGCCTCCAGGCATTGCTTCGATGAGGAACGATAGGATGAAAACGGGTGAGGCTCCAAACTACACGCTGTGCTACTCTTCTGTGACTCCTTCCTGTAACTATGTGCTGTTAGCCGTATACTTCAATTATGCTATGTAAATATATGAAACTGCAAGATAGACCGGTTGTTAGATGGTAAGTGTTGGAAGTGTTGCACGCGCTATCCTTTAACAGATACTGTACTCCACCAACGTCAGGATAGCCAGAAGGCCATGTAGTACCATGAAACGAAGAAAGAAAATGGCACGGTTCTCAGCTACACCACTCATAAATCAGTGGTGAACCATTAGTCTTTCAGGTATCAAGCAAGCATTAAACTGAATAGGAGATAAGGGATCAGTTCAAGTATCATGTACAGGAAAAAAATGTTTGAATGCAGTCTATATGTTTCGTCCCTTAGTTGTAAGCAGAGGCCTGATCAGATCGATGTCAGTAAAGTTAAGAATATACTGACTGTTGCGAGCGTTGCTTAGGTCCCTTACAGTCGTTTTCTGTCAGTGTTGTAATTTGTTAAGTTGCTTTTCCAAGAAAAGGTACTGAACTAAATGAGCTGGAAAATTTTTCCAGACAATGCCCAGCTTCGAATAATGATTTCTCGAAGAATAGGTACCCACAGTTTCGAATCATGATTTCATACGCCACTGTTCACCTATGATTTCCTGAAGTGCAACTGTTCAGTGTTCGAACCATGATTTTTTTGAAAATGCCAGTGTGGAATCATGACTGCACGAAGCTTTCGTGTTCAGTATCAAAGCATGATTTCCTGAAGCATATGTGTCAATTTTTGAATAATGACTTTTTCGTGCATAAGCATGCAATGATAAATCATAATTTCTTAAAGTGCAATTAAGCAGCGTCGTCGAATCATTGTTTTCTTAAGCAAAAGTATCCAGTGTCAAATTATGATTCCTGAAGCACAAGTAACCAGTGATTAGAATTATGATTTACTGAACGAAAATAAGATGTTAGTCTGCATCAAAACTAGTGGCGAATCGTTCGCGATAAAGTACCATATTGGGTAATACAAATGTAATGAAAAAGTATCATACTATTGGAAATTATCGTTAAACCGCGCGGTAAATTGTGGAGCGCAGTAAACTACAGTGCCAATCTTTGTGAGAGAATTCCTGAAAACAGAGCAGCGAATTCACTTTCTCCTGTGAAAGGTGTGAAAACTGTTCCATTGCTGCGACTGCAATTTTCCAGGCAACAGGCAACTGCAATTCGAAAATCCAGATTTGCTGTAGTGCGCAGTAGTAAGAAGCAGTAGCAGTAGCAGCAGCGGTAGTAGTAGTGGTGTTAGTAGTAGTAGTTTCGAAGACCGTCTTCTTCTGGTTTCAGAGTTCCTCCAGCACCCCGCCGTCAGCAGCCGCTGCTACCGCGGGGCAGAAAGGGGCCGGGAGAGGAGGGAACTGTCGCCCTCACATGCTCCGTGAACTACTCCTGTATCGGCGTCCATATCGCTGTCGTTTTCGTTCAGATATGGTTGTGCATGCGTCTGTATTCGTTCCCTTATGTCGCCCATTTTCCCAAAATCCATGAAGTACACAGAGCATGCAGAATGGATGAAAATCTTCTTTCTTCATCCTGGTTTCCTTACAAACACATGCACACATACACACACACACACCCATACATACATACACAAATACACACATACACAAACCCAACAAACAAGAAACTCGGAAGCTTGTCGATAGAAGAAGTATCGTCCAATCATGCTGGCATTTTCGAATTCAAATTTGAATTGAAATTTCCAATTTTTTTGTCATAAATTCGTATTTGCAGTGATGGTCAGTTGCTTTACTATTATTATCATTATCACTAATATTGTCACTGCTGGCGTCATCACTACTGGTAGTGCTGCACCAGTGCTATCGATGAATGCTTCACTGTTGCAGCGATGAGCATCGAGCAGTAGCAGTTCAGCGTCACATACAGATCGAAGTATTTCCTGCGCAGCACTCCTGAATCCTTCCGAATTTACAGCTTTTCCTGAATCTTCGAGGATTATAATTATCTCTTCAGAATTTCACAGTTATTCATAACGTTATTTGAGGGCAAAAAAGCAAATTTGATGAGTGCCGGTAACAGTTCATCGTCGTCGTTGCCGGCGGCAGTTGCTGTATCCGCTGCAGCTGCTGTTGCATCAGCAGCTGCAGCAGCTGCTAATGCAATCCGGAGTAGTAATAGCACGAGTAGTAGTAGTAATAGTAGCAGTAGCGGTAGCAGTAGCAGCAGTATTATGTTGCCGACAACAACGCCTGAAGGCGGAGACAATAAGGCTGGAAGCGCCAGCAATCCAGTACTGCTCCAGCAACGGCATCACCACCACCGTCAGTTATCATCATCAGCGGCGCCAACGTCGTCATCATCGTTATCAGCGACAACAACAACAGGAGCGACAACAACAACAACAGCAGCAGCAACAACAACAACAACAATACCGCCATCTGCTATTGTCCTACCAACCCAACCGAGCATTACCGGAGCAGCAACTTCAGCAGGCACGTCGTCGCAAGCGCACGAACTTCTGACCTGTAACCAATGCCCGAAGACATTCAGTAGCCAGAAGCTACTCCAGCAGCATCAACACATGTTCCACACTGATAAAGCTTTCATTTGCGAGATCTGCGGCAAAGCATTTCGTTTCCGGTCCAATTTAGCTGAACATCGCTCCGTTCATACTGCTCTCAAGCCATACGTTTGCAAATTTTGCGGTAAATCTTCGCGGCTTAAAGGTTTGTTCTAAAACTGCTAAATAATGTCAAAGAATTTTACACGTATCTTCAAAGTGATGTTCTTTTGAAAGTTTTCCATCACTTGTTTCTTATTTTGACAACCAACTTTTGCTTAACATAAATTTTCTAGAAAAAGTGTCCAAGCGAAACCGCTGCTTTTATCTTCCTTGATTCTTGAGTTTATAGAAGTGGGCATCGTATGTTTTGTATGCACATCGTTAGCCTTGCTAACGAATGATTGCTGTTGAAATCTGCTATCACTTAGGCTACTTCCCCAGTTTCTGCATCTCTTTCAGCACTTTAAACCAAAAAATTTGATGCTTTGGAGCTTGTCTTACGTTGGTGTACAGTTTTTACGTATTCCTGCTTCAGTGCACTCATACTAGCACATCGCTGCATAAAGTGCTGAGCAATAAATAGCGAAGAAGACAATAAGAACATCATTTTCTTTTCGTCCACAGTTATAATTCAACCTAAAAGGGTTTTGACATTTTGAGAATTTAGAGTACCGTTCAATCGATGCATGGTGCTCGCTGTTTGAAAGCCAATTTAACGTTATTTTGTTTGGGCGTACAAATACATCCTGAATTATTAGTAGTTCAGGCAATGAATGTTTTTTAACTTCAAATTGCTGGATTATCCTGGATTTTAACTTCCTCCTGAATTCCTGGATTTGGATTAACTTCATATTGTTGGATTTTCCTGAAAGTTTCGCATATCCACTAATAACATTTGAGTTTAAGGACAAGATTATTGCACTTTCTTAAAGGAATGCTTGAAAACCGCGGATAGATGCTGTCGGCACGTGCTTTTACTCGGACTGTTTCTGATGGCTCAGCATTTCGTAGAGGGCGAATATGGAAGACGTTTTAACCAAACTGAGCTAAAACATAAGGAAGTTTCACTTTGAAAAGTACTAAGAGTACCGAGAGTGATCGGATAGTCAGTGCGGGTTTCCCATTTTAGTGAATTACTGTAAGGTTCCCAGAGACTGGGTGCGGCTGTGCCAGCCTTCCTGCACTCCTTACCCGCATGTCTCCATTTAGTACCCATTGCATCAGAAAAATATAGCTGAAAAACGACAATGTCAAGCCCTTCGGAAAACATAAAATATGGCTTTATAACGTAGTATGGCTCTCTAATGCGGTAAATCAAGCGGCACAGATGTTAGTAAGTGATTTTAAACTCTACCCTCTACAGTACAGAAGAGACTTAAAATTCGAAAATTAAATTTTATCATTTGCCTCTAGCCTTGGTATGGATCTATTAGCCTTCGCTTGAAATTGTGCCATAGAATGAAAGTGCATAGAAAGGACATAATTTAAGGACATTAGCTTCATGTTATGGAACAGACATGATTTTTGAAACTCTTTTAAAATTCTTTATTTCTTTTTAAAACTTTGTATTTTAAAATTTTTAAAATCCCTTGATTTACAACATTATCTTAAACACCAATTACGATTAAGGATTAAGCGATAAGGAGGTCAGAAGACCATTTTTTAGTACCAGGCCTCGAACGCGACTTTGGGACCAATTTTGGTGCTAGACCTCGGATACAGTTTTGGTATCCATGATTTAGAAGCTGCATTATTGGACAAACACATACACACACTCACATAAGTGATAAGCATACAGGCCAGATGTACTGATACACATACATATTTATATTTCCGCATATATATATATATATACGCATAGTCTCTTAACAATGTGTTTTTGTTTGCATAAATGCAAAAACGCTTAAAAATTAGGGAGTTTTGGTTCATCAGGTACCCTTGATTTTGTTTCAAACCGAACTTCATCAGGGTAATTATTGCCAAAATTCATTTTTTCAAAAAATAATCGTTTCTGTAACGGAATGAAATTGACTCCTGTGATTAATCGTTTGTTCGCCTTTTAAATGGTTCCGATAAATTTCCCTCAAAAAATTTGGAAATCTGAAACGTGAGGCCAACACATGAAAGTCTCGAAATCTTTTTGCAAAAACTGTTGCAGAATTTTTTTGCTCTAACTTTACTTGGGTCGGATTCGATGGATCCCCAATGTGTCACACCTGTTTTCTCAAATCCTAAACTACACCAGAGAACAGATGGGACGACGACAGTTGCTCTGAATATTGTTTCGAAATTATTTGCTGTTTTTCGAACATTTTGCTCTTTTTTCCTGGGTTTTTAGTTCTGAAAAAAACTCCCAGCATCTTCTGAGATTACGAAAAAAAAAAACTAGTTATTAGTTCTGTCCTGTAAAAAGCAAAATTGTGGGGATACATAGCACGGGGAAAAAATGATGGTTATCAATTGAATAAAAAACCTTCGATTATGCAAATATCTCCGTTATTACGTGAAATTTTTCCAAAATATTTCCATTATTCCCGTTATCTTCCATAGTGCAAATATTTCTGGTGCAGCTGCATTCGGCGTGTGGAAGCATCTCCAGAAAATCACTCTCGGATAATATAGCCACACTGATAGCCCGAACGGTTTTGGTCTTCTTGCTATTGATATGTCTTTTACGTAACCACTTCGATGATTATATGTTGCAGCCTGCTGACACCTAACATTTATCTCTCAGCTGATGTTTGTATGAATGCTAGCTTACTTTCTTCTGCAAAAAAGCAGTATTTTGACGTTTTGTATTCCTAAAGCAGTGAAGGAAGGTTGAAAAAAGTTCTGTGTTCAGGAAAGGCGGTGTTCGCTTGTCTGAGAAGATTCCACTAATTTTATTGAAAAGCCACCCATTCTGCCTTCCTTTCCTGATCCAACTCCATGTGCAAGCTGTCCTTCATTTGTTCCGTCTATCCCAAGCATACTTATTTGCCTAAGTTTCATGATAAACTGCCGGCAGTATTCAGTCTTCATCCATCTCGTTTGACCGTAGTGAATTTTAAGTCCAGCAGTGCTGGTATTGGTGTTCTGCTCAGTTTACAGGTTGTGTACCTGATTTCAGTCGAATGTTATATCTCAGAAATCATGAGAGTTAGAAGCTGGGAATTTTGCGACCTATGTCATTTTTGTAGTTTGGTGCAAACAACCTGAAATTAGATGCCATTTTCAGCACCGCTTGACCTTTAACCCTAGTTTCAGGCTGATTTTACAATTCAGTAACCAGGAAAGCTGCGGGTTAAAAATTTTAATAGGTGATTTACCCTGGGCTGCAGTTCAAATTACTTTTGTTTCAAAATATCCGGTTCTAGGTTTTCTGCACTCGGTTAATAAAATTAGTGCGGATTTAGACTCGAGATTACAAATCAGAATACAGGAACAAATGGACTGGTTTCAGATTTTTGATCTCGTACAGGATTAGACGTTATGTTGAGCATCATAACTTTCGTAAATCTAGAGTTCAATCGTAGGCATAATCTCATCTTAAACATATTTTCATTTACATAAGTTACAAACAGTAAAAAAAGAAAACAGCGACCAAATAAACCAAGTAGTGTATGTTCGCAGCAAATGAGTATTACCGAGACGTTTTTCTGGAAAAAATTCATAGGTACGCATGTTTCACCGTCAATCAGCTTCTCCATGTCGGGTAGTTTTCTTTAGGATTGCTAGGATAATTAGCTGAAATTCAAAGTCTCATTTGGCCTGGCTGTTTTAACCCTTAAGAATTTTTTCACAGCTCTGTGAACAGTTTCACATATTGATCAAGAATTTGCTTTCTAGGCCAGAGCAATGTAGCTTGTCCAGTTATACGGTACGGAAGTATTAATTGATGGTTCTTTCCTTATTGGCGTTTTTTCATTTGCTGTTTTTCCGCTTTAGGAACTATTTCAAATTTCCATAAGACTGAACGAAAAAAACGTTTTTTCTTGCTTTTTTTATTTCCCCGAATTTGGGTGCGTTGTTTCGCATTTATTTTTGGAAAAGCTCAAATTTTTGCGATTTGGTACCGCGCACAACAAATCGATGAATGCAAGTGGTGAAAATTTTTTAAAATATCTAATTTTGACAAACAAGCTCGTTTTCTGACCAGTTCCCTTGCGTTCTGAACTGAAGCAATGATACAAAAATAAGGTATGAGTGTAAACTGGAAGAGGTAAATTTTACACTATTATATGCGTTTTTCTTTAAAAATTACTTAAAATGTTTAATAGGATGCTAACTAAATTTGATTTTTTTACCGCAAATATGTCCAAAATTCCAGAATACCTCTGCGAATTGCAATCAGTCTAGAAGGTACTGAAAATCTAGTACAGTTTTTTCAAATAATTTAAAAAATCCATCATTCGATCTCTTGTATGGTTCCTTATTTGCCGAGTTAACGAATTATATCCCCCCCCCCCCCCCCCCCCCCCCCCCCCCCAAGATAAGATTTTGCTCAGTGTTTTGAGACTTTGCATAAATTACATTATGGGAAAGCAATATAGGCCAGCGATTCATTTTGCTGTGTTAAAGTGAATTGAATTTGAGGGAACTTGAGGACAAAATTCGCCGTCAATTTACTTGTAAGCATTTATGAATAAGAGGGCCATCGATAGCCTTGCCATCATTTACTTGCTCTTAGCACTTACTGCCCTCGGACTACTTTCGAGTTCTCTAGCATTCTTCGGGATCGAAACCGCGGGTTTTTAGCTTTTCATGATGAGGGAACGGGGTACAACACCGGAAGAATAGCATTGCTACATTGAAGCTTGCTGCTACCGTATACCGAATTGAATCATCCACGCTGTGTACAATGATGTTAGAACCGGTACTCTCAGATAATCTCCCGCATAGCACACGATCCTATTAGCCAGTGCGTCCCCACCGACACTGTAGAAATTGACAGTAGGCAGGATGTGGAATTATTTTTGAAAAATTTTGACAAGATTTTCCCGAAAAATTTTTCGATATTCAAATCAGCTACTGTTTCATCGTCACGTAACTATTCCCCACTGATCACTTTTCAGCTTCTCCATTCTTCTCTGTTTTAAGTATATGAAATTATGGGGATGAGGAAGGGCTCAGAATACGAAAGAAAGGCAAACTTGCCAGCTATATCAATAGATGAAATAACAGCTGTTCCAAAT